AACAATAGTGGAAGAAAAGAAGCTACTTCTTGCCCTCTGACTTTGGAGGGAGTCTCAAGGGAATCAACTCTAGATAGAAGGAATTACTAGAATTGTAGCTGATTCCAAAGAGGATTTCATCTAAGCCCCTCATTTTAAGATGGGGAAACTGAGGCCCAATGACCAACCCTGACTAAAATCTAGATGCTCCAACTGGGCAATGAAAGGACTGCAGTCAGGATACAGGTCTCCTTACTGGCACATTGCCTACTGCTACCCCACTCAGTCTCAGCCTTTGCTGGGTGAATGTCTGTCTGCAGTTCTCTGCATCCTCTGCTCCTAGCCAATCCACCACTGTAGTTTTTTTTTTTGTTTTGTTTTGTTTTGTTTTGTTTTGTTTTGTTTTGTTTTTTTTACCAGCAGCTTAAATACCTTAAGCTGTATGAAACCTCTCGGAGAGTTCAATGATTAAATAAAAGGACTGTGAGAACCTCAATTGTCTAGCACAGAGACCAACCCATATGTAACAGGAAGCTTGATTAGTTATTCAAACAGCCTACTTCTGGCTACACCACTCCCTCTTCCTTCTAGTACCTTGCCTCAAATTTGCATCTGTAAATTGAACATTGGATTATATAAACATATTATGAAACTCTCTAATTTGTTTCATGGGACCAAGTTGTTTTTCCAAATGAAACATCAGCTTCCACAAGCCTAATTTTAATCACCCATAGTACCTAACCCAGAGCTAGGGCAAGCCAGGCAGTACTTATTGTTGAAAAATTAGAAGAATTCAGAAGGAGATACTAAAAGAATGATTATCTTTACAAACCAGTAGTAGGAGCCCCTTCCTCCTCCAAATCACATTTTGGTGGGAAATCAAAAGCAACCAAGTACATCTTTGACTAAGAAAATATTCAACTCACATTAAAAATTAGGACACATCAATCCTGTTGGTTTTATTGGGTTTATGCTAGAAGGGAAGAGAGAAATAAAAAGAGGAAGAAACATCAGTGATGAGAGAGAATCACTGATTGGCTACCTTCTGCACTCCCTCTACTGGGGATCAAGCCCACACACAGATATGTGCCCTGACTGGGAATTGAACCATGACCTCCTGGTTCATAGGTCGATGCTCGATCACTGAGCCACACCAGCGGGGCTACAGGTTCATGTGTTTTCTTAAGTCTTTGGGGGTAAGTCAGGATAAACACAAAAATATCAAAATAAGTTGCTTTAAAATGATATATAGAGAGAGAATGAATAAAGGGTTAGAAACAATGAAGGAAAAATAACAAAGATAATGAACCAAACTCACAGAAAAGCCATGGGGTTGACCTCAAATTTAGGATCCCGTAGGAGGCAGCCCTGAGTTAGGAGCCACCTTTCTACCTCCCAACCCTCAAGGGACAATCAGTGAGCTAAACTCAACCACTCATTTGCTAAAGATTGGGTTGGTAGGGGAAGAACACAGATGAGGGAAAATTAAGCCAGCCCTATTTTCTCTGGCTCTTTTTAAAAAATTATTTAGCTAAAAAAAAAGACTCAACTGCTAATCTAAAATGTTGCTTGCCTGTCCTTGCCCATAAACCTGCTTCCTAAGAGCTTTAGGCTATACAATGAGAAAAATGGAGAAGAAATCAAAGTTTATTTATAACTAGAGGCCCGGTGCATGAATTTGTGCACCAGTGGGATCCCTCGGCCTGGCCTGTGGGATCAGGTCGAAACCAGATCTCTGACATCCCCCGAGGGATCCCAGATTGAAAGAGGGCACAAGCCAGGCCCAGGGACCCCATAGGTGCACAATCAGGGCCGGGGAGGAATGCAGGAAGTTGACCAGCTGGGGAGGGACCACAGAAGGGCTCCAGGGCTTGTCTGGCCTATCTCCCTCAGTCCCAATCAGCCAGACCCTAGCAGCAAGCTAACCTATGTGTTGGAGCATCTACCTCCTGGTGGTCAGTGCACATCATAGTGAGCAATTAAGTGGCCTTTAGCACATTCTTTTTAACTGGTTGAAAGGCCGACCAGACACTTAGCATATTAGACTTTTATTATATAGGATTAGAAGACCTCGATTTTAGAGGTGGCATGTCCTTGAGACCACATGGTTGGCCAGGGGACAAAGATTTCAGATAGTTAGTGGTCTTACTCCAGTAATGATGTCCAAATAGGTTAACTGTATTGCCTAAAATCACTTATGAAGACAAATGAAAAGGCTGCCTTCTGCCCCCAACACAAGGCATGTACCTTTCATAAGGATAAAGTCATCCTAGCAACCAGTAGCTCCACCACAACATATACAACTAGAAAGTGGTAAAATCCTTGGGTCAAATTTTGGCACAGGGTAAATTATAAACAGTTAACAAGGTGAGCCCTGTAGTTAGATTGTCTAGACTCAAATCCCACTTGATAACTTACAGCTCATTTAACTTTCCCAGGCCTCAATTCCTCATCAGTAAAATGAAAATGAGATAGTATACAGATGTTATAAGACTTGCATGAGAGCCATAACAAACACTTAGTACCTGGCAAAAACTAAATGCTCAATAACCATTAAACAAAATCTGTCATGCTCTGCATTTTTCTATAAGTTTTTTCATAAATATTTTTTCTTAAATATTCACAGTATCAAGTTCTCATTCTATCCAATGGAAGCCTAGAAAAATGATCCCCAAAGTGATTGATATCTTTTACCCCTACCAAAATAAAAGGTAATTTACTACTATTATTACTGCTACTACTAAGACATCTATGTGGTTTTTTCCTCCTCTTTCTGTTCTTCTTCCCTTTCTCAGTATTCCATTTGCTTGCTCATTAACCTGGGCTTTTATTTCCTTTGTAAAAATGAATGTTGTAGCTCAAATCCCATCTCTATCACTATTGGGCTATATGGAATCAGGCAAGTTTCTTAGCGCCTCAGACACTCAGTTTACTCAGTTGACCGAGAACGAGGTGGAGGTGCATGTGAATGACTTCCTGATGTGTGGATGAACGTATTCCACAGTCAGTGTAGTGCACTTGGGCTAAGACAGACAGGGGTGCTTTGTTTGACTGGCTGGTTTTTGGCACAAGGTTTTAAATGAAGTTCAGACTAACTCACCTTACTCTCAGGGGTTCAATGAGACTTATTGCCAATTCTGAGCCCCACTTCTCATTCAGACTTTACACTAACTGCAGTAACATGGATAAGTAACAGAATGACTGATAAGAAAGGAATGGAGATAGAGCCACAAGACCTGGTTCAGGTTGTGCTTGTGTAGACTGTTCTCTTCAACAGGGAGGAAGACAACTGGTTGGCAGTCAAACATGCCATGTTTGTGATGCTTCTAATTTTACAACGCACTGGTTCTGACAGAGAATGGGCTGCAGTTGGCACGGGGAGCTCATGCCTGGGATGTTTTAACTTGGACTACAATTACTCTGAGGGAATGAGAAGCCCATCCCTGATTCAGCTTTACCAGAGATATGATTTTCTGGCCAAGCACATGCCACTGGCTGGCTGCATGAGAAACACAAAGGAAGAGACAGGGCTGGCAAGGGGCTTGTCAGGGTGGACACTGGCAGTGAAACATGCACATAGAAAGCTTAAAAAGACAGGCTTGGCTTTGGAAAGATAAACATAATCAACAATCCCAGTCTGTACTCTGCTTATCTTGATGGCCCCTCTAAAGAGAAAACACAAATAAAACGTCTAGATGGGATAAGCAGTGGTGGGAAAACCACTAGAAATGGAAATAGAAAATCTGAGTTCTAGCTCCAGTTGCCTACTGACTTCTCTGTGTGGCCACATGCACACCACATTCACTCCGTGGGCACTGGATGGCTGCTTTCAGGTTGTGTAAGGATATATCTCTAAGCCTCAGTATCCTTCTCAAGACAAGATCCATGCTAAGTAAGAGTCTTTACCTGGTGGTGTAGAGAGAGTGACATGACCAATGTCAAGCCCAGCACAGTGCCTAGCCTAGAGTAAATCTCAATTAAGTTTAGCGATTCAGATGACTACTTGCAAAGTGAGTGGGACAAGTATCGATATATGGTACTTTGTGGCCCTAACATTGTTTTTATTCTAAGCTTGGGTGAGGTGAAAGAGAAGGGATTATCTGGCTTGGAAGTCTAGGCTCAGAATTTAGAAAGCAAAGACAAGTTTGCCATGGCATCTGTACAATGGTGATGTTTACATTTTGTAATTTTTAAAAATATTTTATTGATTTTGCACAGACAGGAAGGGAGAGAGATAGAGAGTTAGAAACATCGATGAGAGTCATCGATCAGCTGCCTCTTGCACACCCCCTACTAGGGATGTGCCCGCAATCAAGGTACATGCCCTTGACCGGAATCGAACCTGGGACCTTTCAGTCCCCAAGCCGATGCTCTATCCATTGAGCCAAACCGGCTTTGGCTACATTTTGTAATCTTAATCCAACTTGATTATTGCTATGCAAGTCAACTGGCACGTTAAAATGATGATCACAGTCCTTGGTTGCTGTCACACACTGAGGTGCCTGAGACCTGTAAATCCCTAAGTCTGGTTCTTCCAGGTTCCCCTGGCAAATCTGGGTCACTGAAGAAATCAAGGACCACTTACCCCTAGATTATTGCTGTCATTTGAATGGTGCTCCTTGAGGATGGGCCTACAAGAGACTCCACCTGCAAACCTTCACAGATGACTCCCTTGCTAGGGTTTGGACGAGGCTTTTCCTATAGATTTCGTGACCTCAGATCTCCTTTCTAACTGCCAATATCCAATAGGACCTCCACCTCATGGCAAGCTCAACAGGACAAATGACCAAGCGAAAACTCTCCCATTGCTAATGGGTCAAGGGATGGAAGTCATTTCAGTGAAAAGGGCTGCCTCCTGGTAAGCCCAACCCATCTTTCCTAGTTTCCCGGAGTCCTGGACCCTGGTGCTGGCCCACCCAGGGTGGCACCACCAATTCCACACACTCTGTTAGACATTCAAGTGTAGACAGGATCTTCCACTAGACCAAGCTATTAGATATTAATGTTCAGACAACACCTACCTCACTCCAGACCAGCATGGTACCGAATATGACCTGTAACCCATCAAAGAAATTGTCCCCTATGATGATCACAGTCGCGCCTCCCGTCGTCCATCCTTCACTCGGGCTGATGGCTTTGATACAGGGAGTAGCTGCTTTTCAACACACATGAAAAAGAGAAGGAGTCTGCTGTTAGAATGAAACTTTAATGATGGGAGACTTGAGAAAAAGAAAAAAAAAATCTTTTATCTTTTCATGAACAAAAAGTCCTACAAGATCTCAGCGTTTCTTAGCCACATTAGGACCAGAAACCTTAGGGTGCAATTTCTCAGTTTTTAAAAAGCATTCTTTTCATTCTTTCTACTGAGAGACATATGTTTTCCCCAAATCATTTCAAACCTGAAATCTTATGAAATGGAAGCAATGCTTAATTTACGAAGTACTACAGATTATAAAAAATGAACAATGAATGGCTTTTTGGAACACACTGGAACACTTATAGAATCACTTCATAATGAAATATACATCCTGAAAATAAGCTCATAGATTTTTCTAGACAAACATTTCTGTCCAATGGGAAGCAGGAAAGGAGGCACGAGCAAAAAATTATTCTTGCTGAATGCCTTTTGTCTGTAACACTAGCGTAGAACATTCCTCATTAAAAATCATTAAAATTTTTTTCATTAAATGTTATGGATTCCTTTTTATAGGTGCAACATGCACAGGTCACTTGGGGTGAGTTATGCAACTGCACAGCTGAGTCAGGGCTGAACCACAGAGTCTCATGACCTTTGTTTTGCTGTCATTCCCAGGCATAAACTCCTAGAACTGCCTTTTTTGGAATTTCATATCTCTTATTTTTTCCATTATAAATGGCCCTTGGATATGGGAAATAATTTGCAAATACTGCAATTCCAAACAGACTGGAGGTGATTTGCCTGATGAGCATGGTGTACTTTCAAGAGAATTACTGGGCATAAATGTAATTGTAGGATTATGTTTTAGAATTGTCTCACAGGGCACCTTCCTTCCCCTGAGGATTTTTAACTCTGCGATGCCACGCTGCTTTTGCCATGATTACTTTTATGAACACGACCAAAGCAAAATTCTCAAGTGAGGAATGTGTTGTGCCAGGAGAGAAAATGAGACCCTCCTCTATAAAAAAATTTATTAAGTATCCAAGACTGACTTTCCAAGTATTGAAGCCAATGTGAGCACCAGTTAATTTTAATGGGACAAAAAAAAAAACTGGCAAAAAATTATTGGACTTTGTCAAATTTGGCAAAAAGTCATGCTTTAACTTTTGCAAGAAAGAAAATATGAAGCCCAGCCCAATGGGACCATTGCTCACGTGCAGCCACACAAACAAGCAGAGTGGGTTTGATTTTGGTTCAAATTAATCTTATAAAATTGCACAGAAAAATTAAGAAATATCCAAACTAAACATTTCACGTTGGCTGAACTCAGAGTAAAGCATTTACAACTCAAAATGGGCAGCTTGGATGCCTTTTCTCTCTTCCACTTTCCCCCCAAAACAAAATAATTAATCAAGAAAATGTAAATGATTCATGACTTGAAAAATTCTTGTCCAATTTTTAACACACATAAAGGTTGTGATTCACAGTTCCAAGGGCCCAGGATTTCCTGTTTAGCAACCTTTTTCTCTAAAAGTAAAACAGGTTTACATGCATAATCACGTACCCCAAACCAAGGATAAACTATGATGTATGATTTCAAGCAAATTATGAGAGAAATAAACTACATTTCACAACGATGTAAAATTCTTCAAATAAAAGCAGCTTGGAAAAATTCTAGTTAATGTCTCAAAATCTTAACTCTTAATTTCAAACTCAGTATATTCGTTGCTAGAGGAGAAGTGGTCTTGCTCTATCTCTTCATACTTCTGAGAAGAATGGGATATTGGTTTAAATGACCTGGCCTTGACAGAGTCCCTCCTGGTGGTGGTATTATTAGATGTGGATCCTGTGATTACCTTCATAAAACACAAAATGGCTTGGTGTTTATGTCTGGATTAGCTTGGGGATTTCTTTTAATTTTTTTAATTCTTAATTTGTTTTTTAGTCATACAAGTATGTTTCTTTGGATAAATATGGTCTCCTCCAGGCTTCCTCTTCATTGTACAGAAGGAGACAGAATGTGCTGGTGTATCTTTGAGACTCATCTATAGTTAAGATGTTAAAACAGCATAGCAACACCTGCTGGATTTAAACTTGAGCCCCTCCCTCTTTCTCTTCTTTCGTTTGTTATTTGTAGGATACAGAAGGCATGTGAATATGTGTGCATGTGTGTTTGCGTGTGTGCTTTCAAACATTTCCTGAGAAAAAGTGTGTCTTCAAAATGTGTGAGCAACTGTCAGGAAACAAAGCTAGATGTAACTTGTAGGAGGAGAGAAAGAGCAGCAAGCTTGGTGAGGAGACAATATATGGCACTATCTTATTAGATTTTTGGAGAGAGAAAAAAGTCTTGAAGGAAGTACCCCAGGAAAGGAGTGGCACATCTCACCTCCTGGTCCATCCTACCTCAATACTCAATGTCAGCCACTGTGCCTGCTTGGAGACTAGACACCATTTTTAGAACAGGTAAGGCATGCAGCCCTTTCTAAGTTTAGTATTCACCTGGTTCTAGAGGCGCTCTTACACATCTGGACCTCTTAGCAGTCTTGAGCGGAAGCTCTATAGTACTTCCCCCGTGGGAAGCTAGGAAAATATGTAAAGGAATCATGGACTGTGCCATCGAGAGAGAGGAGTAAGAAAGAGATGTTACCGGCATCTAGCATCAGGAGGCTAAGAATGCTGAGTATCTAACACTGCCTGGGATGATCCATCCAACAGGATGAACTCTAAAATGTCAGTGGTGCATCGTAGAAAATACTCGACCTAAAAGACCAGGCCCAGGAACAGGTGTTAAGAATTGACAGACTCATACAGGTCAAGTCAAGAAACACAGATGAATAAAACAGTGCAGGGTCTCAGAACAAGCATGAGAGAGAGGGATGGCCACTGACACTAAGAACTGGAGAAGCAATGGGGAATGACAGGACACTGACAGTTTGCTGAATGCGCCCCCCACCTAAAGGTGTCACTGCTACTCAGCTCCAGCCAATGGTAACTGCACACAAACAAGCCCAGGTTGGGGGTGGGACTTCAGAAAAAAAGATAGGAACCTAGACTTTTTTGTGAAATTTCCAAATCTTTAAATGTTGGCAACTAATTAATAAATTGTGTTGGCTAAACAAAATGTTGATGAGTAGATTGAACTCACAGAATGTCATTTTACCCTTCCACCTGAGTCATGAATTTGGCAGACTAAACACAGCCCAGGAAATACTTGCAAATATGACCAAACTAAGGTACCCAAATGTCCACAGCAGTCCTGACAGTAAAATATCCAAGAGTCTAGGTGCCCCCGGCTAGAGAGTGATTAAACAAACCATGGTATATCCATACTATAGAATATTAGGAGGGTCCTTAGAACAAATGAAAAGAAATTCTATAAACTGACATGGGTAATGTCAAATTACATTAGGGAGGGAAAAACAAAATTTGTATTCTGGAGAATAATGTAACCTTGTTTATTTAAAAATTATATATATGAGCCTGTATGTGCATAAGTATGGGAAAGCATGAGTGTGAGTTTGTATGTAGGTGTGCGTGTATGCAATTATCAGTGAACAGGTATGATAGACAAAGGTCTGGAAGGATGTACACCAATTCTTGTCACTATGTCCACATGCAGAAGGAATGTGACTAGCGTGAAACTAACAGAGAAGGGTGACCATTCAATTAGACTCTGTACACATCTGTAGGGTTTGATTTTTTTCAATGAGCATATATTAAGGTAATACATTATTATACATAAAAAATAAATAACAGCAGAGCATTTGACTCTGTGGGAGGTAAAGATTGTGCTTTTTAAAAGCAAACTGGTGATTTTTTTTTTTTTTAAAGCCAGGCTGTGCTGAGAAACAGACCCTGAGCCTCTCCTTCCCTCTTCCTTCTGGCTGTCTCTAAGGAAGCTCAGTCATCTGATGGCACAGGACTTATTTCTCCTGCGCTTGGGATACCCAGGGAAACCCAGAGGTAAGAGGAGGAGAGAAGACTTTTTAATACAGTCACAGAAGATGTAGTCAGTGGACTTTGAGGGTGAAAAGATTTATAAAAGAATTCAATACAGCCCAGGAGTCTAATAATCAATAAAATTCCATCTCCAAGAAAATATTACAAAATGCGGCAAGAAGAGGGGGTTTGAATACAAAACCACTTTTACCAGCCAAAATCTTGACTTAATTAATAGATGTTCTTCCTCACCAATGAATTTTCACACATTTACGTATCCACAAGGACTGCTAGCCAATTCCTGTTTGCAAACCTTATTAAACACAAAAGTTCGGAGGGGTTGGTATTTTTGCTGCTGCTTTTTTTTTTCTTTTTTACTTCTCCCCCCACTACCCTCCAACAGCCACTAAAAGAGAGATTTTCCTTCCTTCACTTGATGACAATAACGTGATTACCCCACCACAGTTTAGCATAATGGCTCTGAAACGCTCATGGCACATTGCAGAGTTAAAGTGGAAATTATTAGGTAGCTCTTCTTTGTTATAATAATGATCACTCCACAAATAAAAGCTCTTCTCCCAAAGGTACTGCGAGGCACAAAATGCTAATTCTGGAGATTATGTGTGCGCTTTTATTAAATATTACTATGCCCTGTCTGTCTGAGGGCTTCTTTGCTCTGATTGTTTTATGAGGACCATGTTAATGTCATTCCCATCTTGCTAGCAGCAGGCACACATTTTAGCGTTTGCATGAGAGTTGATCAAAGGCCACGTGCTGGGGGAATTGCTGAGAAAACACGGACAAGCGATAAAAATCTAACAGATTAATTGGTTTAAATTTCATTTCAGGGTGTTGAACTTTGGCTCAAGACTCTAATACTACACCGCGAGTCAGGGCCTAATTACCAGATTTCCAATTTGCTTCTGAACAATGGTCGGGGTGAGGAAAAGCGAGGGAAGAAAGAGGAGGTGGGGGGTGGGGGGTGGAGGGAGGAAGAAACTGTTCAGTCTCCAGTACATATTTAACAACGAACGTTCTGTGTGCAGACAGCGGTGCCAGGGGACTCTGAAGTCACCTGC